CATGCGAGAACACAATTATCTGAAGCTCAGAAGAAAAGGCATTTCTAACAGCATGTTTCTTAAAGCAGTCTGCTCCAACAAGACCTTGCATGTTGAGGAGCCAGCATATTATTGAGATGGGTCTGACAACATATGGCAAAATGGGTGTGTGTATTTGTAGGGAAGAAGCATTGCAGGAGCAGCTGTCCAGAACAGATGTCTTCTCCTTCCAGTGGATGGGCCCAGCCCATATCTGAGATGTAACTCGGCTTGACAACAAATCTAAACAGGGAAGCAGCTCTTGCAAACAGCCGTCCAGTTGACTTTGTTAAGACGATTCACATCAGACGTGAATGTGAACTGATCTGTCACTTGACTTGCAGTAGCTCCTCCCAGTTCCAGCTCCCTCGGTGCGCTTGCCACCTAAAGGAGACGTTCTCCAGAGTGGTGTTTGACAGGATGATGCACAGTCCCAGCACGCTGCCGCTAGGTAGGTCGGCAAGCGTGCGCTGAACACAACAGGGCACACAAAGTTCAATGAACCGGAGTGCTGTGTCTTATTGTGGTTCTGGTCTCTGCGGAGGACTATGAGTGGCAGGTTTATTCGAGTGCTGCTAGAGCTTTCTGTGCAACTACGTACATGAGCAATTGCTGTGATTCAATTGCAGGGTATATTGGCACGCCCACTTTTGAACACGTTGGTAGGGAGACGGGCAGAGCAGATCAGCCTGTGTGGGTAACATTCAACAGATCAACGTTGATCTGTATGTAATTTACTTTTAGATGCATGGCGACATTCTTGTTCTGAAAGCACAGGCTAGGTGATCTAGCTTCATTTTACGCCTTTCATCAGACTATTCGTGTGTTCTGCTGAATACACTCAGAATCCTCCATGTGACTGAGGATTCTAAAGACGAACTGGTTGGACCTATTGAAATGCTCCCTTCAGACTTTCCCACTCGATGTATGAAGGTCTAAGGATGAAGGGATGGCGAAGCTGAAGGTGAGGCCAGTGTGTGCAGTCCTATATCTCCCTCCGTGCGTTCCTGTCAAATGCCTGAATGGGGCTATTATTTAGAAAGGTTCTAGTCCTGTGTAGCATAGAGCAACATTTTGGCCAAAAGTGCAAATGCTTTCTAACTTGGCCATTCATAGATATATAGATGGACTATTCTGACCTTGAAATAATTCACATAGGGAATGTTCAGTGCTTGTAGTGTATTGTTATTACTGTTTACCAGAAAAAGACTCACCTCAGATATATATATAGACTGAGAATGAGAAGCTCAGGGCTTCTTGAACGCACTTTGGGGCTGCTGCTTATGTTATTGTTATGCATTCTTCCTTTTTAAGAGCTAGGAACTTCCAAAACAGCAAGGCTTCGTTTCCATTGAATAAGAGAGCTGTGGAGACTAGGGCGACATATACATGGTGCCTTTAGAGCACATTCAAAACACATACCCACCTTGCTTCGCCGCAATGAATTTGTTAAGGGCAGCTGGGAACTGTAATTCTGTGAGGTGCAAACTACAGTGCCGAGGATTATTTGAGGGAAAGAATGTGTTTTGTATGTGTGCATGCATTTTTAAAAATAATATTTGCTTTGTTTACAAATATGCAAGCAGAGCACATACACTCCTATGAGCAGACTGCAAAATTGATAATCCTTCATCACCATTAAAGGACAACTTCACCCCAAGAATGACGCAGCTTTGGCCAATTCACAGCTCCCTCTGCCTGATTTTCCTTAAAAAGCAATTTCTTCATATTTAATGATCCTATATTGCCCTCTGGTGATAAACTAGGATTTTACACGTTCCTCAGAAATGTAATGTGAAATCAGATGAGGTCCTGGTGTGTGTGGGTGGGTGTTTTAAGAAAAGTCTACAGCATTAATAGGACTTATGATCTGCAAATATAAGTGTTTGTTGGTTTGTTTGTTGGTTGGTTGGTTGGTTGGTTGGTTGGTTGATTGATTGTTTTGGATGTCTGAATTGCCTCTTACAGGTTTTCTGGAAGATGCTCAGGGATAAATTGATGTAGAAGAAGAGAGATCCACAGTTGCGACTTATCTCTGGGAAATCTGCATCATATATGCGTCTGATATTATATCTTGCAAAAAAAGATTTAACAGTTGCCAACAGATGAGGTAATGAAGAGAGTCCAGGCCACTAAAAACACTGCAGCTCTCACTGTTTCTCTCTTAGCCTTCACAGATAATTTTTTTGTGGCATTTGTTCCAGTGCCCACTCTTCCCTCCCGCCCACTCTGTATGTGGAACTGTGATGTGTGGAGAAAACAATATATCCTGCTGTTCTATGTCCTTTTAGGTGCTCCTGTGTTTCTTTGTTTGCATTTCTGAAATACAGGTGACTCCTCACTTACTTGGGAGTTATGTTCTGGCCCCCTGCTCACATAAATGAAGTGGGGAGTGCCTTCAGCGCATGGGGAGCCTGTACCCGGAGCCCAAAGGAGACGTCCCCTTTGGCCTCTAGGAAGGGTCTCCTCACATGCCGGAGGCACAGCGGGGCTTTGTTGTTGTTCTTCAGGTCTCTCCCCCGCTTCCAGGTTTCCAGCGCCACGTGTATGCGTGGTTGTGCATGACTTGAATGTGCATAATGTTAAGCATAATTGTTTAATTCACACAGAAATGGAAAATGCCTATGTCTTATTGCTGACGGATTAACATGGTTTTTCCCCACAGTGGCATACTATGGGACTCTAAGCTCCTAAATGGGTTAATGATTGTTCTCTGCTCTGAGTTGAATGTAACCTTTGATCATGTGATGAGGTTACTGAGTTGCAAATTCACCATCTTGGAAGGGTGGTGGCTGGAGTCTTTTGCGACCTGCTAATTTTCTAAGTTTGGGTTTTTGGTTTTGGATGGAGGAACATTCGCTCATGCAAGATCCCTTTCCAGTTTTGAAGAGGCACAATCCAGGCATCGGATTTCTGAGAGCTCAGCCTGAGACTAGATTCTGAAAGTATGGCACAGTGCTGTGTGGTGTTGCCTGTGGAAATGTGCTTCTGATCTGTTATCATGATGCTTATCTAACCTCTGTTGACCAGGCCCATGCAGAGCTTGTCTGGGGTCTGAGTTGGGAGTCATGTTAGAATACAGTTATAAAACTCCAACAAAAAAACAGCTGTTCCCTGTTGGGGCCCCCCAGCCAGCTTAGCCCTCTGAGGCCTGGGGCAAGTGTACCTGGCTGCCCCTGCTCTCTGCTGTTGACCCAGACAGATGCATCTTTTGATGCTAATGGGAATATCTACCCACATTCACAGCCCCCAATTGTTGTCTGAATATTTGCTTCCAGCTATAGCTAGATCGGAGGCTAGAGTTCAATATATGGTTTCCCCTCACTCAGCTCTCCCTCTCACCTCTTGTGTGCATGTGTACATGTACATACTCTCTAATATGACACGGCCCAAATCCGGGACACCATCTTCTGAGTCTGAAATCCCGTGTGAATCATGCGACCCATGTGAGATTGTGGACCTGGAAAAAGCACTTTTCGGGGCAAGACCTTGGCCCGAAATCACATGAGAGTAAGGTGCCCCAAATGGCATTGGGGGGGGGGTTGGAGTGGGGTGGGGCAGGATGTCCCACTTTTTCCAGGTAATTGACAGGTATGTGTGCATTGCTTCGTTACACTAGATGTGATCCAAAAACAGCTAACAAAGTACTGACTGAAAATATAGGAACACAGGAAGCTGCCTTGTGCTAAGTCATACCACTGGACCATCTAGCTCAGATTGTGACTGGCAGTTTCCAGGTCTTCAAACGAGTCTTTCCCAGCACTTCACAGAATTTTCTGCATGCAAAGTTATGTGGCCTACCACTGAACTATATACGCCTCTACTTCAAATATAAGACGATTAAATGGAAGCATTAGTCTCGTGGTGCTGTAGAAGTGATTCAGAAACTTCCACTGGTTCTCTTATAGGAACCTCTTGGTTTTGACTAGGGCTGCATGCTCAATTTTAAATGAATAAATATCAGTATGAAGCACGCCCCCTCCCTTTGTTTGTTCATTGTTACGTTAAAAATGAATGGGGATCTGCCAAAGGAAAATTCATTCATTCACACATACATGTAGTGCGATGCCCTGGAGAAGGGGCCACCAACCTTTTTGGGCACATTTGTGAACTGGAGAAGCTATTGTGAGCTGCAAGCAACCACAACCTCAGATTATAAGAGAATGCTCATTTCGAGCCTTATTTTGGGAGGGAGGGAGGGAGGGAAGGAGGGAAGGAGGGAGGGAGGAGAAACTGTGAGTCCAAGGGAAGGTCTCTGCAGGTACATATGCACCCATAGGTGCCACTCCCATTGGCGAGTGCCATAATGTCTTCAAAATCATGCCAATGGTCACCCACACTGTAAGCCGAAGAAATGCAGCAGGTGCTTCCATTAATGAAATGGAAAGGTCATAAGGTTGTATATCTTCTTTCATCCAGGGGCGGAGCTACCTGCCCTGGCCCCCGGAGAGATGGCAGGGCTAGCCGCCCGCACCGTGAGCATCCTTAGCTGCCCGCCACCTGCGTAGCGAGCATTGTGAGGGGCGTCGCTAGCCACCTGCCGCAGCATTGTCCCTAGTAGCCTGCCGCCCATGCAGCGAGCGTCCGGGGGCACCGCCCGTGCGAGCAGGGGTGGGTGGGTGGCATGGCGATGTCACTTGCCCTCACAGCTGACACCTGGTGCGCATCACACACCCCCGCACCCGCCTTCCTCCGCCAGTCTTTCATCGCCTATAAAATGGGGACTCTTTACCCAATCTGAAATTTGGGTGGTCTGATGCCCAGTGCCATTTGGATGGGAAATGCCCGTTGGTTGGAAAATGCCACACAGAAACAATCACAACCAATGAACAAAGGCAAGTCAAAATGCTTGGGGATATGAAGTGAAACAAATGGACAAATGAAACAGAAATTTTCCCATTCCACACACTTAGCTTATATGGACCGACACTTTTCACGCTGGGAGAAGGGAATGAGCGAGTCAACAGACCAGTCCTTTTTCAGTTCACAGAACCCCAATTCTTTATTAATCACAGCTTGCTCACAATGACATACAGGAAAAATAGCACAAATGAAGAGTAGACTATGCAGGCAGCAATTCCCAGGAGGGAGAGGGACAACTTCAAACTGGCAGCTCTATGGGGAAAGCAGGTGGGTGATGCCACACCTGGCTCAAGCATCCTGGCTCCTAGTCACTCCTGCTGCTTCAGCCCTTGTCATTCTTGGTATCTTTTTAAAACTAGGCAGGAGAGGAGAAGTCAGCAGGATTAAGCTTGTTGAGTCTGGATGAAAAATGTCCTACAGAGAATCTTGTACCGTAATGAAACAGATTAGATTAAGGCTTGGATCCTTCCCACAAAAGCGCACCTGGTTGCCCCACCGATTTTAGGAATGGTGGGCAGGACTGTGGCCTAAGATAAATAGAACAGGTCACAGCATCTACACTTAAAAGCTTCTCGACTCAAGTTAAATAATTTCTTCATTGGTGAAGAGGCAGATTTTGAGTTATTTTTAAATCCAGCTTCCCCAAAACCCATAAGCTTCTTTTGGCCAGATATATGATTGGTCATTCTCAACTGCATGTAATGCCTATTTTTAAAAAAGTCAAAACTTGCTTCTGCTTGCCTCCTTGTCAATGACACTTGCCTTTGAAAAACAGAAGCATTTTTCTTCAAAAGGCAGAAGAAATTGTTCCTGTGAATACTAATTTGCAGCACAACGCTGTGGTTGTTTACTCAGAAGTAAGTCTCACTGTGTTCAGTGGCGCTTACTCCTTTGTAAGTGTCTTATGCCTGCAGCCTTTTCTTACCTTCTCCAATGGGTGCCAAGTCCCATTGAATTTGATGGGGTCTGACTTCTGTGTAGAGATGTAACAAGAGATGTGTGGTGCACTGCAATTTTGTTGTTGTTTAGTGGAGCACTGAGGCTGTAATTAAAACATGACTGCTTAATGATTCAGGGGGGTGTTTCAGGACTGCTCTGTCAAGTCCCAATGCCTGTAATTTGCTTATTGTTTTAAGGAAGTGTATTGATCGCAAACCTTTCTAGGTAATTAAGCAATGGCTAGACTCTAGCACCATAGACCTTCCACTGACTTAGATGTTCACTTGGAATGCACGGAGGTTGCTGCAGGGAACTTCATAGGAACAGATCTAACAAATTCAACCAAATGGAAATAGACAACATCAAAAGCCTGTTACAGGACATGTAAAGATTATGAAATAACTTGCATAATGCAATACTTGTATTTTTTAACAAAAATGTAAGTATTTACAAAATAAGATCCAAGTTTTATTTTTAAACATCAAGCAAATCATTCTGCAAAAACTGCATTGTTTTATTTTTTTGTTTTGTTTTCTATTGAGTTCTTGATTCTTCTTCTTCTTCTTCTTTTAAACCGTGTCATACATTTCCCATACTAATATCTCATGATCTGTAATAATATAGGCAGGGGAGTTTGAGGAGGGGTGGGGACTTATCCCACCCTCTCCACTGCTGGGCTCAGCCAGACAGTTCCACCTGGAGCTCCTTGTTTCTGCGGACCTCTGCAGCATGCCTCTCCTAAGAGGAAGAAAATAAAAATAAAAATAAAAACAGGAAACATTTAACCTCCACCTTCCTTCTCCAGAAAGAATTTTAGAAGACAACCATTATTTGGTTTCATGTACTGCAAAGTAAGCAAGGATATTAGAAGCATTTTAAACTAGGTAAAACAGACATTTTCCATCAACAACAGCCAACATTGGCAATGATCAGAGATGATGTGGAACAGTAGTCTGGAGGCCCACTGGTTCCCCACCTCTGAGGCAGAATATAACCCATGTTCCTTGGCTAGGATAACTAATTGTCCTTTCCATTCCTCTTTGGATTAGAAGGAACTGGAGAATGGAGACAGAAAGGGGGTTTGGGCCACCCTTTAAGTGTGAAGCAGCTGTGCTTGGTAGGGAGCAGAGTCACATGTGGTCCCAGAAATTCCAGGTTCAATGAACTTCCACATGGAATTTCTGGAGTCATTAACATGGGTCAACATAAATGGTACTTAAGCTGGTATAGACACTACCAAATATGATGCCCAGTGTGTGGACAGGTAGTTGGTCTAGAGGAGCCTTCTCCATACTGATGCCACCTTCAGAAGTTGTTGGACTCCCATCCTCATTATTGGTCAGGCTGCCTGGTGGGAGCTGGGTGTCCTGCATTAGAGCCAGGCTAGGCACACCTGAGAGGGTGGGAGGTAAGCAGACATGATTGTGCTTCCACACCACATGCCATCTTTGCACACTTATCTCTGAATCCATCTGAAAGAAAGTTATGACATCTCTGGGACATCAAAAGTCACCTTTAGGCTGAGGCAGGAAATCAGCTGAAAGCATGTTTGCTGCCTTTGGTCCCTTTCCTACACCTTCTGGGGAAAGGAGAGGGCATTTCGCCCATGCCTGAGCAGCTTTCTTTGGCTGTTTCTCTCTTTGCCTTTAGCACCTTGGCAGCCTTTCCCAACCTGGTGCCCTCCAGGCTGCATTAAGACATAAGGCATCTTGGTTTAGTTTTTCTAATTATAATACTCTGCACTTCTGCCCCATTTTCTGACGTTCCTTTTGCACTGCAGTACCTGATGCATTATGAAACTATGGCTTTTTAAGTGATAAAACTGGCATGTTGTGCTAAATTTTATTCACACCAGTGGGTGTGGTTTGACATGACAACAAATGCTACCCTGCTCTTTTTGCACATACATCTTCTATTCCTGCATGATTCCCCCATGAAAACAGCAGGAAAGAACTGTATGCTGGCATACTACCTCAAATTACATCACTTTACTCCCCTGATTTTCTGGGTTTAGGGGGCTGCAAATGGATTTTTTCTGGAATCAAATAACATGGAAACCAGCACTAAGCATGCACTATATTCCCTTAGTTTTCCAGAAATGCCTTTTACGTCATGCGAACATTCAAATACAATGCAGAAATGAATAGTTAGGGAAACACTGGGGAAATGGAGTAAACTGTCACATGAATTCAGTCCAGATGTTTTGGACTACAATGTCCATCATGCATATCGAAATACCGGTGACCACTTCCCCCCTCCTAAAATAATCTCAGCCTGGTTACCTTCTCCTGGAGGCGTTCAATAAGAGCAGCTAAGTTAGCTTCACGGTTTTCTTTGATCTGTTCCATTTTCAGTATCAGTTTTTCCTCTGCCATTTTGCTGAAGTTGTTGTTCTCCTCCAAAGCCTTCTGAAGGACTTCTCGTTCATGTTCTCTCTTTTCCGCCAGTTGTTTCAGCACCACAGCCTCCTGGGACTGTGAAAGGCAGGGGAAAGAAAGAGATCCAAGGGGATAGTCTGTTTGAAAAGCATTCAGCCAAGGTTGGAAGGATAATATGTGAACTTCAGTTTGTCTAAAGCGAGGATGGTGAAGCTGTGTGGTCTCCCAGACACTGTTGGACTCAAACTCCCATCAACCACAGCTGGCATGGATAATAAGGGATTATGGGAGTTGTAGTCCAATGGTGTGTGGTCAGAGGTCTCCCACCTCTGGTCTGAAATGCCAATAAAAATATCTGATAATTTTTGAGAGCATCTGACAAACATGAATCCCTGAGCAGCACTCTTACTAACAGAACCTCCTCCAAATATTCTGCCATTCTATTTTTGTTTTTCAATGGGATTGTAGGCAAATTTTATGGGCTGCTTTAAAAACTACATTTTGATTGGGAGTTATGCTTCTGATGCACCAACTCCCCCTTCATTCTGCAGTCTAGCACCACATCTTATATCGTTTCAGCGGGTTCACCTACCCTCTGGAGTACATTATTTTGGGAAGGGGCAATGGGAGCTGTCAGAAGGCAGAGAAATCAACAGAAATGGCTTCCTCTGGTGGGAACCACTGCTAGATCACAGCCTGTGCATTTTGTATTTCACTCAAGTTATGTATTTCACAGTATATTTGTTTACTTGATTGCAAATTGTCTCAGAAGTTCACATTTCCTCCATATCCTACGGAATTCACGATTTCACCATGCCCCAAATGTTTTGTTGTTTAATCTGGCTTCAAACCCAAGGAGTTACCGAAAGTAATTTTTCTTAACTAAAGAGCTGGAATGTGTTTATAACCCTTGGATACTTTAGCGGTAGCATACTGTCTTGATTACCGCCCACTAAAAGTTACAGAAACAGAGAGCTAGCTTTTGAGTTTTATAAGACTCTTCTTTCTGCTGCATGTTGTTAAGCAAAAAGCCAATGGCCATCCCTTCCCCACTGAAGTTAACTGTTGGCTTTCCTCCTTAATACAGGTATTATTACTTTACTGTTTGGATTGTTTTGAACAGGTGGACAAAACTACCTGCATTTAAAAATCTCTCTTAGACACTTTCCATATTTAACTTTATTCATCTACATATTGATTAAATCTTTAAAGGTAGCATACAGGGATGACCCAAATTCTCAAGGTTATTTTGCGTCCTGAAGCTGGCCTTTACTGTCAGCTGGGGGATGATTCACACAACCTGTGAACTGGTGTCAGATGATGACATCTGGTTGAAATTGCATGTACATTGAATGCCTGTCTATATGTTACCCATTACATACAACAGGTATGGGGAACCTTTGGTTCCTCAGAAATTGCTGGACTACAATTCCCATCAGCCCTGATTATTGGCCACATTTGCTGGGACTGATGGGAAGTCTAGTTCAGCAACATCTGGCGAGCCAAAGGTTCCTCACACCTGGTGTACACACCACTTCAGTTGTGTATTTACAAAACACACACCACGCACCACCATTAACTACTCCAAATGTGAATTGGGCTCCAGTGATATAAGGCAGGGAGAAGTCCATGATTAAATCCCCTACAGTTTTTCAAAAGGAGAAAGAAAATGGGAATATGGCACTGGAGGGAGAAGAGTTAACCCTTTCCCTCATGCACTTATTACAATTCACATCCTCCCTAGAGCTGTTATTTGCCCTTCAGGGGAAGCATACAGCTACTGTATCTCCCCGCTCCATGATAATTGCATTTACTCTCACTTACCAGCTCCAGTTCTATATCTCCTGCTGTCTTGTCTAGTTTGCTCATTAAATATGGCAGGAAAACAATAAAATCCTGCACATGGTATGGGAAATGAATACAGTCAGCTCACCATGAGGAGAGAACTAATATGTGCAGTGATTTCCATCAGCTACTGCATGCCTAGTGGTTTTTAAGACTGGTGTGTGTGTGTTATCTTGCTTGTATTAATGATTTAATATGGGTTCCGACTGCGAGGGGCCAATTTCCACTTCAGAAGATCTCAGAAAGATCTGAGCTGCTCACATGACTGAGCTAATGCACCACACTGTTGAATTTACTAGTGGCTTGGGCCAGGCAGATCAATTGCAGAGTCAGGAATGAGCTCCTAAACTAGTCCCAAAGTATTCTTCCCCACAGTCAAAAAGAATCTGAGCATAGCTATGCATGTACCTATATAGTGGGGCAAGTTTGTATTCTCTATCTGAGATCAATAAATTCTAAGATTAAACACAAACTTTGAGAGAGCGGGTTATGGGCAAAAATGCTTGTTTTGCATTGAGAACTCTGAACCTACCAGAAAAGGAGATCATGAACAGTCTTCTAGTATATTTAAGTAAGAAGCAAAGGAGGAGGCATACACCTCCCCTTCCCACTGGCTTGTTTTAAAATAAAGGTTCAAAATAAAGGTTTATTTAGCTTCCGCATTCACAGACTAGAAAAGGAAATCGGATGGCATTGCCCTTCTGCTGTAACAGAGAAGATTTTGCTGATGATTAGGTGGAAGCTTCTTTTGCATATAGTCATTATGGTGAGCGATATTAACAAGCAAAAGATGGCCACTGAGCAGCTGACAGCATGAATGCTTAAAAGGGTGAACATTATCCCCAATTCTATGGAATGTTAAACAGCAGGGGCTTCCCAATTACCTTTCACACAAATGCAAATCCATTAATAGGATCACATGTAATTTCTGCACCATAATCCAAAAGCTACTAAGAATATGAATCCCTTTGGAATATAATTTTCATATTAATGTTCTGGCTAAGGAAGATCCTACTCTACAACTCAATCTTAGCTGTTAAACCAGCTTCCAAGGTTTTAAAAGCAAAGTATTTTAAGTCCAGTGATTATAGAAACTTTCCCCAAATATGATCCCCTCCAGATTTTTTGGACTATAACTCCCATCAGCCACAGCTATCCAAAATTTTTTAGGATACTCAGTTGGGGAAGGACTGGGTAATAGATGCTATGGCATGAATTCTGTCTTCCACTGATATTCAGATACAATTTTTTAGTGCATTGGGGAGCATATATTTGGATGGATTTCATTTGTGGTTCTTGAAAATGAGAGGGGTGGATGTGAAATAATATAAATACTACTACAGGCACTGGTGCTAATAATGATACAGCCAACCACATAGCACCACAACAGCTTCTATTCAGGGTTTAGATGACAAGCTAAACTGTAGCTAATTATGACAGAGGTGGAAATGGCAGGGGAAATAAGCCATGGTTATCATGACATCTGAAATAATTTATGGGTATCATGACAGGGAGCTCACACACTACATTAAACAAGTGAACAATATGTATACACAAAAAGTTGAGCTGTACACTTGTACAGTTATTCACTTGTATAGTTTGAGTGTGCAGTCTGTGTACACAACAGTGGAGCCGTCCAAATCAACAAGCGCATATTCTTCCAAACAACCATTTGTACTTGTGTGGAGACGGCTTGCACCTGTGCTCAGTGTATCCTGCTGGCAAGCCTGTAGTCTTCAGGTGTAAACTTGATACCAATTGTACACAGGTGAGTGCTATTGATCTGAGTGGGGAGGAATGTGAATGAGAAACTAGGTACAAGATTGGGATGTGTGAAAAAGCAAGTGATCTACCAATTTCTTGAACGTGTAGGGACTGATTTTTACCTTTTCTGAATTGTATTTCCTGTATACCACTTAGAGACTATTGCAGTTAGGTGACATTTAAATTGTTTAAAGCATAGTAGTAGCAGTAACAGCAATAGTACACACACATACACAATATTAGCTCTCCTATGTGTCTAACTTCATTTTGAAGTGTTGTTTCCCACTCCTGCCTTTGGGGGACAGTGTAAGAACTCAAAACAACTAGGAATCCCATGGGAGTCTTGGACACAAATAGATTTACCATATGTTTTCTGACGCTGTGGGCCTACAAAAAGCTTATGCCACAATAAATCTGCTAGTCTTAAAAGTGTCACAAGACTTTTAAGAGAGCTTGTACCTTTGAAGAACATATCTTAACTAGGTTACAGAAATCCAGAGGGGTTTAAGATGCCTGTTTGCAGAAATGAATGTGCCATAGTAGAACTTAATGTTAGCATCAGCTCAGGCCCCTTTTCATGCTGCAACAACTGGAAATGTTCTCAGCAAGCAGTCATGCTAAATCAGATTATGGTCCATCTAGCTCAGTATTGCCTGGGATTTTAGGGTGGGGTCTTCTCCTAGCCCAACCTGGAAGATGCTGGGTTTTGAACCTGGGATACTTTACATGCAAAGCATGTATCACTGAGCCATGTCCGCTCAGCACTGAAACAGTCATATGCTTGGTTATATTTAAGTGACAGTTCCATCTGCTTTCAGACACAGACCATAGATTTCTGCAAACGAAGCAGCTCATTGATTCAACGTGGAGCACTGTGTGTTAAGGAAAGCAATGAAGAATTGCATCTTTCCTCACAGTTTCAATTCCCAGCATCTCCAGGTAGGGCCGAGGGAGACCCTTGCCAGAAACTCTGGAAAGCCACTTAGAATTAGCATAAATAGAACAATGTTCTGACTCAGTATAAGGCAGCTTCCTATTTGGAATGTACTACAAGGAGAAGGAGAAGGAGGAGAAGGAGGAAGAGGAGGAGGAGAAGGAGAAGGAGAAGGAGAAGGAGAAGGAGAAGGAGAAGGAGAAGGAGAAGAAGGAGAAGAAGAAGGAGGAGGAGAAGAAGGAGGAGAAGGAGGAGGAGAAGGAGGAGAAGGAGAAGAAGAAGAAGGAAGAGGAGAAGAAGGAGGAGAAGGAGGAGAAGAAGAAGGAGGAGAAGGAGGAGGAGGAGAAGGAGGAGGAGGAGGAGGAGGAGGAGGAGGAGAAGGAGGAGGAGGAGGAGGAGGAGGAGAACAACAACAACAACATTTTTGCAATGTATAACTTGCAAGTGCTCCTTCACCATTTTTGGTGCCAATAATAACATGGATTGCAAGTAGATTAACTTGAATGGATCCCTTCTCCTCCTCCCAGTTACATGTTTTGACCGTGAAGTAAGTGGCTAGATACCTTTCTCCTCTCCTCTGCAGCTTCCAGCTTTTTCTGGATCTCTCCAAGGGACAGATCTTTCTTCTTTGGAGAGGCTAAAGTCCGTGGTGCTTCTGAGACTGGAGAAGGTGGCTTCAGGATCAGCTCAAAAGCTTGGCCAGAGGCACGCTTGTTGATCTGTTTCACTTCCATGTCTGTAAAGGAAAAGTTAAAACATTTCAACCCAATATTGTGCTAGTATTGTGATAAAAGAGCAATGGCAACAGATAATGCAGATGGCTTCTTGGGCTGCCACAGACATTAGAACACACACACACACACACACACACACACACACACACAATATAAGGGTGGGGTAGCACCCCTTATAAAAGGCAGCCCAAGGAATCCTTTGCTAAACCAAAGAATATCCACTGAAAGTTACTTACCATCATATGTGTATATGTTCAGGTTTCGAGGTTCAGGGTAAAAACAGGAGCAGATCAAAGAAAGCATCGACAGCTCCTTCATCTTTTCCTTGTAGGCTGAAATGAAAGAGACTGTATTAATCTGTTTCACCTCTCCTGATTCCTGTCTTACAGAATGTTTAATTTAAATGGCAATTAGTGTTGCTGGTAGAGCTGCAAAATGAATTGCTCAACTAAAACTTTGTAAAAATATCTAAGAAGGTGAAAGATTTCTCATAAATGGTGGCTTTTAAAAATAATTTCTTATGCATTGAAGAATCTTTGATCTTTCTCATACATACACACACACACTCATCATGCCAGTAGCAGTAAATATGACTAAGGCTGCAGTTTCTGCCTTTTTTCCTCACCCATCAGGGATCGTCTTTCACTTATGGGCAGTTAAAGACTGATAACTGTTTATTTCCAATGAGAAGTGAAAGAATAAAGTCTCTCCACCAAGGGCACTGAGGATTTAAGTCTTGCTTCAGCCTCTCCTTCCCCAAGGCTCTCACATAGGTCCAGAAACTGAGTTCCGCCCAACATGGGGGGGGGGGAGGAACTGTTATGCGTGTGTGATGTCACACACATGATGCACAGTGTGCTGTCATGCAAATATGTGATATGTGATGTGAGGACTAGTGAGGCCTGCTGCTGCAATGAGGCCTGGTTAGGCCCACCACCATGAAGCCCAGCCCTTCAAGATGGGGGTGGGGGGTGCTCAGCCCCAATAGACTTTGGGGGTGGGTGGTCTGAAGACACTTCAGCCGTATGGAGTTGGCATCTATGCACAGGTGTTTCTGATGGCTCTTATTGGCCAGTTCTCTGCTGTGGAGAGGGGAGAAACATTGGAACATATAATGTATGCCAATCTGCATTTATGAAGCCAGGATCCAGCACCACAGTGCCAACTATTCAAGTACTGAGACCTCCCCTACAAGGTCCAGCTTATGTGAATGTGAAGAAAACTCACAAAGACAAGAGGTTACTTCTAGCCTTGAACTCTTTGTCTCATATATGTAGCAAGTACATCAACATCTAACCTGCATGTTTCTCAGCAGGATTGCAAATAGGATATACTTTGGCTGGGATTCCAAAACCTACTTTCAGTATTCCCGCCCCCCCTCTTTGAGCGGCATTCTCATCAATCCCCTACCTCACTGCAATGTCACAAACTCCTGTCAGTGTCAAAAGAGCTCTGCAAAATGACATGGGGAGTCTGAATGCAGGTCCAAAGTCCATAGTTCTTTGAATCTAGGGCTTTGAGTAAAATATAGTAAACTGTGAGTGGCATGCAAAACATCTGAGGAATGAACTGAATAACAATGCACTTCATTTAAATAATGCTGCATAAAACATACACCGTAGATCTAAATAGAAATGTTAGCTAACAGTTGAGATTGTCTTGTTTGATTTTGAATGTATTATTATTATTATTATTTCACAATTATTATTATTATTTCATACGGTCTGGGGGCCAAACTGCAGGTGTATAGTCTGGGTTTGTGTGATTCTTTTAAAAACTAAGTAGCAGCTGAATGGGATGTAAACAATCCCATCAGAGAAATCTCAGTAGGAGGTAACTTTGGAAGAATCTCACAGCGAAACTGTACTGTGGCTGCATTTGCATGTCACAAGAAACTACGGTTTATTATGGCAGTGGTAACCCTTGATTCTGCATACCCCTTCCTTTTCTCTCCATTAGAATGGCAAAACTCAGAAACTCAGAGACCTTTGCTTCTAAACTGCAGCTAATATGAACTATGGATTGTTGAAACAAGGCAACTTTATAACCCATTGTTTGAAGTTGGCTTGTTTCACTCACTGCAGTCCAATCTTGCTCAACTCCCTTCCCAGCAGCTGCTATTTAAAATTTAAAAAAGAATCATGCAATGTCAAGCTACATATTTAACATAGTTTGGATCTGAGATTATAAAATAGAATTGAAATGTTTTCAGTGAGGTTACAGATTAATTTTTTCCTACAGAGATGGATGTATGGACATACACTGCTATGCCTGCAGATGGCCCAGTAAAAATAAACACTGTGGATACCTGTGCACAAATTTTATCCTATCTATCTATCTATCTATCTATCTATCTATCTATCATCATCTATGACCTGATCAACTTTAATGTAGGGAGGGAAGAAAAGCATAATTTGCATATTGCTGCAGATTCTGTGATCATAAAAGCAGAGTGAGCAGGCCCTTCTATGCTTCATTGTTTTGTTTCACAATACTGTACATTGTCTCTCCATTTCATATAAAACATCACCACTCAGAGCCACATGGGAGAGGTTCATTCAGAGCTTTAACTGGAACATGGGGAAGCTGTCTACTGAGCACCTGTGACTGTGCACTCACCAATTTCATTTTTAAGGGAATTTCTTCCTTGTAATTTTTAGCCAAGTCTTTCCATGCAGATTTCTTTAAAAGGAAAATGTCAAACAGCTGTCAGGCAAGGAGTAGGCAGCCTCCCAATCTTTCTGAGCTTCCTAGAAAGCCCAGCTGAGGACGTCATGGGGTTTTCAGGAAGCACAGACATCTAAGGAAGGGTACAAAGTGCAGACCACTGGAGGGATGATTTAGAGACAAAAGACAAAACGCCCTTTGGCCGCCTTATTTATGTATTTTATTTAGACATCTGTACCACTTAATTCATAAAATATATCTAAGCAGTGTACAGGAAACAAAACAGCAGCACGTTACAAAAAAGCACAATAAAACCATTAATACAAATGATGAATGAATAAATATGGATATAAAAATCCTTATTCCGGCACGCCCAGCACCTCTCAGCCTCCCATCTCTCACCCAGGGCCCAAACAAACTCACAGATCACTCACAAAATCTCTCAACCAAGAGGGTTCCTGGAACCTGCTGACACAGATACAGGTATAGCTGATTCCTTTGTGGTGAGTGGGCTCAAAGGGGAAACCATAATCTGGCTCAGCCCCACCTTGCTGTCTGTTGCAGAGCCTTTTGCTGCTTAGGCAGGCTTTCAGGATGCATTTGAGTTCCTGACCCTGAATCCAATTTCATTTTCTGCTTTGGGAGAGACGCCACGAGAGGCAGAGGCAGGAGGTTCAAATTAGATGGAGCATGAAATGCAGGCCACGCAAGGGTCGTATTTCCTTTAGTGCATCATAACTGCATTTACATTGATCCCTCGGTCATTCCATTGGCAAAAGCAGTTTCTCGAATTCTGAAGGTTAAACGATTCAGATATGCCGCGTGCCTTTTGGGTTTGTATTAAGTGTGCTGCCGGCGTAAAGCCTGCATTTTTCTTTCAGTGTCAAACTGACACAGATTTGCTGGGCAGCTTTCTTAATTTGGTTCCCTTTGTGATTCGCAATGTGGAGTTTCACGCTTCTGATCAACCACAATGAATAAATGGTTATGGAAAAATTACATTAATAGAAATCCTAGAACTAGGCATTAGCCTCATATTTCCTCCCCTAGTTTTTAAAACATTGCCATATCTACTATTTGGTTAGATTGCTAAGACTGCTTCGACTGACAGTTAAAATACAACTACTGTAAAAAATAGTAATAGGCAATGGTCACAAAGGGAAGTGATGTTAAGCACTGTGTTTCCCCCCTTTTGTTAACAGTCATTAACGACTGAGTTAACATGTATGTTATTTTGTCTGCACCAGCAGTGGAAACCCTCCAGCCTGCCCACAACTGTCAATCATCCAGCATCACCTATTGTCACCTGCACTTAGAGCATTAGGGAACATCCCACGGCTCATGCAGTGTGCTCCTGATTGCATCTGGGGCTTGACAGTTTATTTAGCACCTTGAATCCGGATGAAATTGAGGTGCTGTTTGGTTTTGGGGCCTTTCCTCCACCCATGTCCCTGCTGCTTTTGGCAGGGGAATGGACTAACTTGGTGTATCAAACCTGTACTCCTATATTCTTTTCTTCTTCTTCTGAGACTTGATTTCCTTCCAGTAGATGTCAGTAGACTTCCTGGTTGCTAGCGACCCTCTAATTTCTTTCAGAGATGTGATTTAAATTTTTCATTTCATTTCTTCTTTTATTGTTATTCTCTCTTTGTCTTCAGCACCGTTTACTTTAGCCAAACCCACTTCTACCTTGGGTCTTGCCACTATGGGAATTGGACTCTTGGAGGGTTGGCCTTGTTCAAATCCAGCCCTTCAGTTCCCCACCCCTCATCGACACCGTGAAGTAGGCCACAATTCATCCAACAACGCAAGTAGGAAACTGGCCATGCATTTTTATACTAAGAAGTCAGTTCCCATGGAGTTCAATGGGTCTTGCTTTCAGGAAAGTGTTGCGGATTGCAGCTTTAGGCCTTTTGATACAACTTGCTCATGGGTGCATAATAAGTTAATAACAGAAGTGGGGTTTGAACCGTCATGTCACTGTGGTCTCCAGGGTCCCTTCCAACTCTTCTACGATGCTATGATCCAAAGGCAAGTCATTAACCCTGGAGACCACAGGTAATCTCAAAGAATGGTATGTGGAATTAGCACATATAGTAGACTGTGGAGTAGAGGGCTACATGGAATAGCCATTCTTCTCAAGGTTAATTTTCTGCCATGTAGAAGAACATGAAGAAGGGTGGATATTTCACTTCAGTCACTACTTGTCTTCCATACTTTTGACCATAGAAAGCAGGGATAAAGAAAAATGTAATGGGGACCCATCTGTACAATACATTTAAAGCAGTATCATAGTACTTTAAGAAGGGAAGAGAGATTAATTGTAAAACCACTCTGGGAGCTGTAGCTCTGTGAGGGAAATAGGGCTCTCCTAACAGATCTCTACACTCTTAACAAACTACAGTGCCTAGGATTTTTGGTGGGGAAGCCATGATTGTTTAAAGTGGTATGATACGGCTTTAAATGTATAGTGTAGATTGGGCTCCAGAGCCAACATGAGTGCTAAAAATCAACTGACTTTCTCTATTATAGGTGGATTCACATAAATCTAAGATGAATTATTCTGGCTCACAACCAACCTACATGCTGCAGACTGTTGTGGAAATGCAAAGCATTCTTATAGTATGCACTACATTAGGGAAAACCACTTGCAAAATATGTATATTAGTCAAAGCTGCATACAAAAAGGATTGATTTTTTTTTAATGCTGATTGCTGCAGAAATGTGCAGAGCTGACTGGAAATAGGTAAAATGTAAAGGCCCCCTGGATGGTTAAGTGCAGTCAAAGGCGACTATGGGGTGCGGAGTTCATCTTGCTTTTCAGGCCGAAGGAGCTGGCGTTTGAGAATATGAGAATCTGGGAGAACTGAAACTGATGCTACAGGTGTCATCTGTCATACCAGTCTTAAAGCCATCTAAGCTGGTTGTCATCAATCACTGCTTCCTGTGAGAGTGAGTTCCATAGTTTAACTATGCACTGTGTGAAGATGTACTGTCCTGAAGTCAACTAGTAGTCTATCATTTCCATTAAGTTGAAGCAAGGAGTGTGCCACAGCATATAAACTCTCTTTAGGCTCCTGCCGAGTTGTTGAGCAACATGCTAATCTGCACATATCTTTGCTGCAAGGTCCATCTGCCCAAACACCCTGACTGTTTGGTTACCTCCCAGCTAGCTGGACAACCTAAACATAGCTATCATCAGGACTCCAAATACTCTTCATAGGCTAGGGGTGGGAAACTGGATCTGGCCAACAGGCTAGACTCTTAACTCCCCCACCTCACATGGGCCCAGTTTGACAGCTGAGTGGAGCGGCCCATCTGTCAGTGACTTGACATCACAGTGAAACCAGGTGACCAGTTTTCATTTGCTTGTGTGGTTTGAAATCAAATCGTGTGGGGAAGTGGAATGGTGCTTTGCAGGCACTGACAATCAGATGATTTGTGGTGCTTGCAAAGCCCTTTTTCAGATGAGCCACATCTTTATACGCCCCATGTCAAGCATGTGGGTGTGGCTTGGCCAAAATGGTCTTGCAGGCCAAATAGGGAGGCCTGGCTAGCCTAATTTGGTCCATGGGCCAGACAGAGGATCATCACCACTGCCAGAAATTTATCCTTGCACCATGGCTCTCTTGCACTGCTCAGCATGAATCTTCAAAACAGAAATTTGTATGTGTCCGTTGAGAAAACAATGACCAAAGAAGCCATAGTGATCAGGTGGGTGCTTAACAATGAATAGTTAAGGGACTGGATTTATGATGCTTATAAGGTTGCAAAAAATAAGCACAGGTATATGGGCATTGTACTTCTTTTGGATGCCTAAAAAAACCACTGGATAGAGATCTGATTGATATGCCATTCTGTCATTTCCATGTTGACCCCTTGCCAAGCTGAATTATTTGTGCTGCACTTATAGGATTTGATCCTGAGGTATATATTAAGGTAATAATAATATTGCTTGCTTACCGATGCCAAAAGGTAGTAATATCCCTGAAGGCTTGAAATTGCCATTTTACAGTATCTTCATTCCTGCAGTTCTGTTTGAACAAGCTACAGAGAATCCATTCCTAGTCTCATTATTGTTATGTTCGCTTCTCAAACATGAGTTAATGTGTCGGTTTTGCTGAGCGAATGCAAACACTAATGCAAAATGAAATTTTAATTGTGCCTTTTATTTTCCACCAGAGGAAAGCAAGGGCTCTTGCACTGGCTTTTGATGTGACTGAGAGTGGATGTGACTCTGCTGCCTAGCATTTACATCCAGATAGATATCAATTTTAAAAAAGGGAGGGGGGATCAAATGTGTGCAAGCATCCTTTAAACAATGAATTTACTTACATTTCAGTCAAGCCACCTAAAGAGCAAAAAAAGCTAAAACAACTGTAATTCTGAGCTGTCCTTGCCCCCGGGGGCACCAAAAGCCTGTTCAGGCATTCAATTCACTTATGCAATGAATATTGTATTTTTATAACCTGCCCTGGGACCTTATGGTGCAGGGCCGGCAAGGAATCCTGTTGGCAAATACATAATTATCTTGTAAATTGCTTTACAATGATATTGCAAATTGCTTCAAGATGTCTCATGGGAAATGATTCACAAATAAAATATATAAATAAATCATGCATTTGGCAAGCCTTCTTGCTCCCTATGCTGGCAGAAATAGCATGGTTCTTAAGTATCAGTTGCTGAAGATTGAAGGTGGGGAGGTGAGTGTTCTTGAGCTCAGGTTCTGCTTATGGGCTCTCCAATGGCATCTGGTTGGCCACTGTGAGAAGTGAGTGTTGAGTTAGATGGGTCCTTGGTCTGATCCAGCTGCAGGGTTTATCCTATGTCATGTTCTCCAGCACATGACCTTCCCTTGAAAGTCATTCTTCTGAAATCAGGAGCCTCCTCTGCCTATGGAGTTATAGGTGTGACTTGGATTCATAGTGAGATTAAAACAGGATTCTAAGTCATGCAGGGAATTTCCACAAGAGGAAGAGCCTCCTCACTTTGGAAGAATGTCCTTCAATGCAGATGTGATGCAGCATAAGTGGGGCAGAGCTTGCAGGGCTGCCTCTTCCCTTCCTTGCATGGTTGTCCTTCTGTGACTGAAGTGAATGCTAGCAAAGGACTCAAGCTGCTTCTTAAATCCGCAAGGCAACTATGCAGCAATCAAGGATTGAAAAGCAGCAGAAATTTCAAAAGGTGGTCAACCTCTGATGGCGGGAATGAACAACAGGGGAAGGATACTGAGTTGATGGCCTTTATTTTCATAATCCCCTGAGGCATTCTGGCTGCAAATTTCTGGAAACCAAAATACTGGACTAGGCACTCTTCTTAGGCTATTTTGAGAATACTGGAAGCAAACTGTTGTTCATTATCCATTTCTAAATGTCAGGATGAAAGCTGTCCAAGAGACTGGAGAAGATAGTTGATACTTGTAGTCTCAGACATCAGACAAGTTCTTTATGCAACAAGTCCAAGTCCACAACAACACAAGGGAGCACAGAGGAGCCTTGTTTGGTGGCTGCTCCACAAGTCTGGAAACTGACTACCTTGCTTGGGAAGCTTTCACTTGGTTACATTTGTCCAGTTACCCTGTCAGCCTAATCTACATTGTAGAGTTGTTGTGACGATAGGTACTACCCTGTGCTAATTGGAAGAAGGATCCATAGTTCTCAAAGAAGTTCACTCTTGTCAATGCCTTTTTTCACTCTCAGGTACCGACCGATACCTGAATTTCTTGAAGATACACGGGATAGAATTGTATGTAAAGGTGTTGGCTGCAGACTAGGCAAGTGATTTACATCTTATTAACACTAAGCATCTCATCTGTTATTTAAACAGAGAAGCATGGGTGCTGTTCTCCTAAGGCTATGATATGTTAACTGTAGCCTGTGGTAGGCTGACTTCAAATGTGTGCTACATTTTAATCAGAAATTGGTAAATACGGTACATAGAAACATAGAACATATACAATTACAAAACAACTGCAAGTGAATCAATTAGAAGCAAACAAATGCAATGCATGAAAGCAACTGTTTGCTGAGACCCTCTTGCTGAGTCTCTTGCTGGCATATCAGCATGAATTTGCATATGTTATCTTGATGACAATCAGCATGGAATACAGCTGGCATTTTTACAATGCAAGCTTATCCCTTTAACTGTCTCCATGGCTTTTCTCAAAGAATCCTAGGTATTGTAGTTTAGTAAAGATGCTCATAATTCTCTGTTAGCGATTCCTAGTTCCTGCCTTAGGACTAGAGCCCCCAGGGTTCACTGAAGAGAGGGAAAGACTCTTAAACTGGCTTGAGGTAAAGACATCACCAGTGCCCATAATTAAGTAGGTCATCATTGTACAAATTTATCTAGATTGTAATGTCCCCAGAGCTTATGTTACAACATTAAAACACAGTATTAAAAAAAGTTTTAAACAACTTACAACCACAAAAAATAAGATGGGTACTAAAAATATATACCCCAGGAGTCAAAAACCAGGGGAAAGAGGTGTGTTTTCAGCATTCTCTGGAAGCTGTATAATGAAGGTGCCAGACTCAGTTCTGTGGGGAGGGAATTCCACAACTTAGGGGCCACCACAGAGAATGCCCATTCCCAGGCCACCCCCCCCAAACCTCTGAGGGTGGAGGAGCTACCAAAAGGGCCTCATCTGGGAATCTCAGCACCCAAGAGGGTCTTTAGAGAAGGAGGTGGTCTTTCAGATATTTGGGGCCTGAGTCTACACTGCTTGGCAGTGGCTTCTCAAAGAAGCACCAACTTGCATTTGTCAGCTGTATGAATTAAAGGACTTTCAAAGAATTTGCAGAGAATGTTAATAAATACTGAACTAATTCTGAATAGAGCCAGGGTGGTAGATGTCCATTCAAAGGATCACAAAGGAATTCACACATGAAGTTTGCCACAATTTGGAGTTAATTAATACTTCAACTTACTTTACTATAACCCAGAGACTGGGTACCTCAGGCTGGGTGGCCAAGCCTCTCTGTCTGCCCTTCCCAGCCCACACTTCCCCACGACCAGCCCTGCTGCACCTTCTGCTCAAGTTGCCTGACTGGAATGTGCCCTTGAAATCTGATAAGGCCTTTTACCTGCCTGGATGGAGGATAAAGATGTGTGCATGCATGGGTGGAAACCAGCCTATTGTGCGAAGGTAAAATTCACATTCAGTGACCCGCTTACTTTTGCCTTGGGCTCCGCATCCCACTAGCATGTGGTACCCTCCCAGGAAGTTAGCCAAAGGAAATGCAACCTTGGCTGAAAAACTTTCCACATCCTTTCTCCAGCCTGTGCCAAAACAGCTTAATAAAGCCTAAGTTCTCCCTAAAAATAGTGCCCCAAAACAGAAAATATGTTGACTAAATTCTACGCAAGAGCTCCTAAATCAGGGCAACACAATTTGTGACCCATCTAGATATGCTGTCTCCCCAGAGGTATAGAAAACTTCAATTGCTCCTACAAGATTTGCAAAAGAGGTGTTATCAAGCTCCTGCTGGTATTTGATAGCTGATGGGAAATAGTAAAAATACAGTCTGCGTGCAATTTTGAGGCCAGGCAAACTGAATGGAGCCCACCTGCCATGTAATACATGCCTGCTCGACAGTTGCTTAGCACTACCCCCACCCCAGTGTTTTTACACTCCCAAGCAGGCAGCAGAACCTGGGGGTTGATCAAATCCCTGGTGGGCTATAGGGCTGCATTTAGCTTGGAGGGAGCGATCCCAAGCTGTGTAGGCTTAATTTAGCTTTTGAGAGTACTTGATGGATGACACACAATTATATTTAGTATCTTGGAACTGGTGTACAATAGTTTTAAAAACACAAGTCTATGGTTTAGTAATATGCAAGGATATCTAGCACCTGGCAGTAGTTGCTAGTTGCCATGGAATAGTTTTTGACAGTACTCAATGCTGCTGAATAGAATGCAATGAATTTAGTATTAGAGAGTTGGCAGCTTTTTCTATTTGATAGCTTCCAAAAACAAAACAACCAATAGGTACTAACAATACCAAACCACTTAAAATTCTGATGCAATATTCTCCATTCAAAACATTCCTTTGGAAATCACATATTTTAAAATTTAAGCAGTGAAAACAGGAAATTTGCTGATTCCTTGCGAATATAAAACTGTCTCCAAAATACGTACTGCTAACTAGTCAGTCTGTCTAGTCAACATGAGATTGAACTATTACCAACAATCTTATTATATATTATTACTGGACTCAGTCCTGAGGTCTCATTTGCTCCCATGTTAAGAAGTGGTGGGAAGTTGATTTTTTGTGGATTTTTCCCTCCTGCGGCCCCTAAATATCTGTTTCAGTGGATTGGAGGAGCCCTTCTGGAACCATGTGGAAGCTGGCTAGAGGGAGATGGATGAGTCAGCCAAAATCACTTCCTCCCCCTTGTTTCAGGTGGAGTTTCCACAAGAGGTGTAGTGGTCCAGGATCATGAGGGGTTGGTGAGTCAAAGACCCATTACTATATTTGCAGCAGGGTCCCAGCGGAGACCCTGTCTCCAATGTCCAAGAGCTGTCCATTCATCATGAAATGTGAGGTATTTAAAAGCTACTGATTGGAGCTAATCAGAGTGAAAGGAGATGGGTCAGCCAGAGGATTGGCTCCTAGGATCACTCTATAGGAGGGAAGTGGGAACAACACCAAGGAGGAGTTTTTCTGCATGCCCCCAAACTAAGCATTTAGGAACATTGAAAACACAGGATGCTTTGGTTTCAAGAGAATGGTGTGCAAATGCTATTATGTACAATGGAACTTCAATGAAAACGCGGCTAAAGTCAGTCCAAAATAAGGTACTGGAGCACTCCAAATTATTTGTCCACGTATGCATGCATAAATAGCAGATCTAGCTGAAAGGCAACACATGGAGATCCCAGCATTGATCTCTGAGATGCACCCCTAATTATTATTATTGTAGAATTTAAAGTTTATTGTATAATCTTAAAAGGGGCATGGCCGTGAGGGGGCGTGGTTCTGATGAGACATGGCTGTGACTTATCAAGAAGTGACCCTGCATTTTAAACTTTGCTGTTACATTACTGGTCTCCACTGGATTTAGGTCCTTTCTGGAAATGGACAAAGTCTTTCTGTTCTTGGAAGGTAACTCTGGATATAACCCACAATGCTAAGAGTTAGGTGTACTTCTGATGTAAATTGGTATGATGCTATAGAGATATAGTGTTGTAGAGAATGTGAATGAAGAACCAGAATTGCTTTTGTATGAAGCAAACATTTTTGGATACCTATTTTTAAATGCTTCTTAAAATTAGGGCTATTTGGTTGACTGTTCAGTTGGGGTACCCACATATTTGAGTTGCTGCTTTGGATGTTTATTAGTCTTGCATATCTCCTGCTGCTGCTACTACTAACAGCCTCTATTCACCTGGTTAATTTGTTTTAGTGATTTACTGGAGGCACAATATATTTTGTGAATGCCATAGTAATATGAATACCAAGTCCTAGCTTGCATGTTTTGTAATGATCCTTCACATGCTCACTCATGAGAAGTGTAAAAAATTGAAAGGAGTTACTGCATTTACAAGTATGTCCTATGGCCCTTACAAAAGGCCTCAGTAAATATCCCCTCAAAAATCCACAGTGCATGACATAGGGGAGGCATGCCTGTATCCTTTTGTGTTTCTGTCTCTTTGTCTGCTCTTTTAGATGTGGCAGCCATTTTGTGTTATGCCAGACACCGCATAGCAGCCATTTTGTGACTGACACCCATGGCCCCTGCTCCAAATGTGCTCACTTGCCCCAAAAGGCTGGTGACCCCTAGAAGATGGAGGTCCATTCTGTAGCATGGATGCTACATGTAGCACAGATCCTTAGGCAGATACACGAGGACCATACTAGAATGGGCATGTCTAATGCTTTGACTTTGTCTTGCATATTATTTTTTTTGCCACCTCTGAGATAAAGCATGTAAAGAAACGTCGTCTTCTCTTGTTGCTGATGTTTCTTGGTTACAGTTATGTGTCTACTGTACTGTAATGAATTTTTAGTGGGGGGTTTGGGGGCGATGTTGAGGTATCCTTTGTTATTGCTATTATTGTCTGGACAATAACTTTGTCTTTGGTAGAAGTTGCCTTGAGCTCTTCAAAAGAACTTGTAAAATGTTTTTCAATAAATAAAGTCATAAGTGGTAAGCAGGGCACTGGGCACCATGTTTCAAAACTGTAGTGGTATTTGTTGGTAGCTGGAGCCCATTAGGTATGGGTGGTAGAGAGCGGTGATTATTGGTTTGTGGTTTTTTTGTTCTTATTTTTTATCATGTATTTTGTGCTTTTATATTGTGTTTTTATGTTGTGAACCACCCTGAGAACTGTGGATGGAGGGCAGCGTACACATTTAATGAATAAACAAAACAAAACATGTAAGGCAGAAGGCAAGGAGCCCCAGAGAAGGTGGAGCCAGAGACAATGACAAGGCACAGCCAACTAACTTTTCCTCCATCCTAATCCCTGCTGAGTTCTACAACAGCAAGGAGGAAGAAATGGATAGGCTGTCCCACGCCCCAACTCCCCAATTGGTAGTAAGCAAGAAGATAGGCAGGTAGGATTTGGCTGAGGGCAGACTGGTGGGGAAGTGCCCCATTTGCCTTAATAGACAAAGGAAACAGTGGTTGATTACCACCAGGAGCAGAAAAGAAAGGTACAGAATGAAGCAACACCAACAGGAAGGGAAGCAGGAGGAGAAGAAAATATCTTAGCAGGCATAGGGAGCAATCTAATGCAGCCTTTCCACTGGAGTATGTCCCACTGAATTTAATGATATTTCCTTCTCAGTAGATACACATAGGCTAGTTAAAGGTAAAGGTAAAGGTACCCCTGCCCGTACGGGCCAGTCGTGTCCGACTCTAGGGTTGTGCGCTCATCTCACTTAAGAGGCCGGGAGCCAGCACGGTCCGGAGACACTTCCGGGTCACGTGGCCAGCGTGACGAAGCTGCTCTGGCGAGCCAGCACCAGCGCAGCACATGGAAACGCCGTTTACCTTCCTGCTATAAAGCGGTACCTATTTATCTACTTGCACTTAGGGGTGCTTTCGAACTGCTAGGTGGGCAGGAGCTGGGACCGAAAGACGGGAGCTCACCCCGCTGCGGGGATTTGAACCACCGACCATACGATCGGCAAGTCCTAGGCACTGAGGTTTTTACCTACAGTGCCACCCCCGTCCCATAGGCTAGTTAGTCACATTTAATTAAGTGGGCCTTACTTCTGAGAATATAGGATCACCCTGTTAACGCAGCCTAAAGTTTAAATAGTGCTTTGTCAGATTCATCCATCTCAAGCCCTCATCCTAACTGAAATACTTCAGGACAGTTACAATATATATGTGAGTGTTTTAGATAAAAAAGGAAACTTACACTACAATTGATAATTGTTATATATACAGTTACTGAAATTGGGTGTGTGGCATGGACAGCACTGCCATTTTTATCTGAGTCACATTAAAGTCTTTGATATGTTCCTAGCAAATTTCTGCTTTTAGTTTTGTTCTTCTCATGACAATTATCTCAGAAATCCGTTTTAGTTATGGTTGATTGGAATACAACCTTTAAAAGCAGTCTTTGCAAATTAAACTGAATAGATCAAGTAAAAATATACTTGTATTTAATAGTGCCATTAAAAAACCAGATGACTGAAAGAGCTACTTATTCAACTTATTTTTAAGAAAATAATCCTCATAATATGACATAATCTTCAAATGTCATTTTCAGTATATTGCATGAAAATATTATTCCAAAACTCAAAATAGTAATTATTAATGTCACTTTTCTGCTCCCACAAATTCTATTGTGTTCTGACACAGCTGCACAATCAATATCAAATGTACGAATTGGCACAGGGTGAAATTAAAATAAATCCTGGTTCTGTTTTCGGATTGCCCTAGGATATCCTAACAAAAAAAATTCTTATCAGCTTTGAAAATGGCTGGCTTAGAAACATGCATATACTTCAGGCTGTCATGTGAGCAGGATATAAAGGCTTATCATCATAATTCTACATGAGGCAAAATATGTTTCTTCAGAAAGGTCCATAGTTCAGCCTGAAGTGGCAAGGCAGAAATGGGTATACTAGCCCTTACATGCACAGTGTATAAAGTGAGAGTGTTTAACATTAAGCTTGTGTAAGTAGAACTAGGTGACTTGGCTCTAAAGTAGTGTCTGGAGATGGGCGTTAACTGCTTTCAGAGTTGGAAGTGATACAGTAAGACATTTTGCTTTCCACAGTATGCACACTCATACCCACAGTCAACTGTATTCAGAGGTTTTGCATATTTTGAGAAATGCAGGTGCTTTGGTATAGGTATTGTTGCCTATTACTACTACTACTACTACTACTACATTTATTATTTATACCCCTGCCCATCTATAGCTGGGTTTCCCCAGCCACCATGGGCGGCTCCCAACAGAATTAAAAGCATTAAAAAACATAATAAAACATAAAACATTAAACACTTCCCTAAACAAGGCTGCCTTCAGATGTCTTCTAAAAGTCAGATAGTTGTTTATTGCCTTGACATCTGATGGGAGGGCGTTCCACAGGGTTAGGGCTTTAAAGATCAAGTATGCTTGTTCATATTTTATGTTCCATTATCTATGACCTCTAGGCCATGGGCCTGATGTGGCCTGCCATAGCTCTTTCTAGCAGAGGTGGGCAGGAGGGGTGCAGGGAGGAGAGCAAGAGATATGGCAACCATGGGAGAAGAGCTTTGAAAGTGTAGATCAGTCCAACTGCTAGTTGACCTGATCTGTAATTTCAGAGTGTCCCTTGGGCCATTGACCAACAGAAAGAAAGACTTGTGTGAAACTCTGGACAGCTGCTACCATTTAATGTTGATTAGGGGCCACTATCCTGTGTAGTCCAACAACACATGGAAGACCACATGTGGTTGTGATTATGATTGTGGACATTGTATTATGATGCCTAAATATTTTCTTCCTTGAATACATAACTTTTCAGTGTAGTGTTTCTAAAGAACTTGGATGCCATTTTGGGTAAAGTCAACAACAAGAATATATTTGGCTTCACAGATCAAATCAGCCTGTCTCCAGATTTCAGCATGGGTCATTCCAACATCCTCACTAATTTGTTGCCAGTTTGCTTTTGTTTGACATAATTTCTATGGGATATATGTGGTCCAAAAGAATAGTCACAGACCTGTGTCTTTAATCATCTGTCTGCCCCAGTCACATGCAAAGAATGGAAGTCTGAGTTACAGTGAGGAATGTTGAACCCTTCGCTTATTACTGTTATTGCTGTTGTAAGTTGCTTTGGGTTGCCTTGGGTAAGATAAAGTAACTAGCAAATTTAATAAATACGACTACTGAAATTTGTTTTATAGTTATATTATAAATGTATTTTTTTTTGGATGGGTTTGATTTTATATAGAGGCAGACTGCTTTTGTTTCATTAGCTAGCACCTTTGAAGAATTTATTTTGGAGAAAAATAATCAAATGGATGGTGACCTAGTGTGCCACTGCTAGGGTAGTGTACAGAGTGTAGGACTCTGGTTCAAATTCCTACTTTTTGCCACAAAATTATTGGGTGTCTATGGGCCTGCCATTATGGCTCCCTTCAGATGTTATGACACCAGACCCATGTCCCAGTTGCACAGAAAAATAATATTCAGGTAGGTAGCTGTGTTGTTCTGACACAGTTGAAATAAATTAAAAAATTGTCCAGTAGAACCTTAGAGACCAACTAAGTTTGTTCTGGGTATAAGCTTTCATGTGCATGAAGAAGTGTGCATGCACACGAAAGCTTATACCCAGAACAAATTTAGTTGGTCTCTAAGGTGCTGTTGAACAATTTTTTAATTTATTTAGAAAAATAATATGGCTGTGTAGATATGATTTTTAACAGCAAAACATCTCCTTGGGTAAGGAATGTAGGAGCCTCACTCTGACTGCCACCTACCTTTCTACAACCCCTCTCTCAATGTGCTTTTCCCCCACAGTCAAGCTCATTTCCAATATCTGAGCTCAACAGAGGAAGATCCCCCTGGAATGTGTACATCATATGTTGTTAGACTCCACCATCCCAAACTATGGGCTATGCTGGCTGGGGCTCATGGAAGCTGATGTCCCACAACTTCTGGCTAGGGATGATGGGAGCTGTTGTTCAGCAACATTAGTAGGGCCACAGGTTCCCCAACCTTGATGTAAATAGTAAGGGAACATTACAAACCCAACTTGCAACTGCTAATAACTCAGACAGAAACCAATTTCAAATTTTAGTACAGAATTGTATTAAGCTGGAAAAACAATGTCTGGAAACCAGTAACAACTAGATATCTGAGACTTCTCTGGCCTTGCCATATGACACAGCTTCTGGATTCCAGAGACCACAATAAGCCAATAGAGATTTTAGGACTATACATACTCTCTAATCCTCAGTTATACATGTTGTTGTTGTTTTATTAATTATATAGACAATTATATTCAGAAGTGTGTACTGGCTTTGGATCATTATTTTCTTATGTTTTTATCAAGAGAGCAGCTTCCTGTAAATTTGGCAACAGGAACTCCTTGACACTTTCTGAAGACTGAGTTACTAGTCTTTAAAAATCAAGTTGAACAATATAAGCATTAATACCAAAGAACAGCGGACATTCTGAGAAAAATAATAGCATTCTTGTTCCGTTTTAGGCCAAATTCTGCCCTACTATTTTGTGCAAGCAACACATTAATTATAGTTATCAGCACATTTTTGTCAAACCGACTATGATTTAGAAATCAAACCATGAAATAAAGCTGAAGTGCTGAAGATATGGTTTGAGGGTTATGACCTAAGACATTTCCCCACATTAAACCCAATATTCTAATAAATTCACATTAATGATGCTGGTAGATGAGACACAATCCATTAGCCTGTATCTGTCTAGGCACTTAAGCATGTGGTTGTCTAGCATCATGTGCCATAACCTAGTGAAGCTTTTAGACTGGAAAGCAATGAACATGCTCCTGCCAGAATTTAGCTCTTTTAAGTTCCATTGATTTCAGTGTGAGTGTTATGTATGTGCTTAAATCTCTCTCCCGTTTAAATCAGTGGCACTAAAAAAGTGCTTAAATTTGGCTGTTCTTGGTGTATTTAGAATGAAAGCTGTGGCAGTTTGCAAAGAAATGATATAGTTAGGTTTTGACAGGAAAAACATAACCAAAGCAGCAACAAATTGTCATGGGAGACGCAGAAAACCCCTACAGATATGCATCAATATTCCTAGAAAACAGGGAACTATACATGTTTTTACTTAAACATTTTACATCCCCCTTTATCTTAAAATTGGGCAACTTCCAATGGCTTTAAAAATACATAAAATATAAGTGCAATACATAATAAAAATGAGATATGAAAACACTGTAATTTAACAAACTGAAGATCACAACCAGCTTCAATGGTAGAATAAAAGGTGCATTGAACAGGAATGGCTTAGCTGGTCTCAAGATGGCAGATAGTGAACTTTTCTAAGAAAGGGGCCACCACTTTTAAGGCTCCTTCCCCAGTACGAGTATTTGCTCATAATTAACAGTAAGCACCTTAGCCCTAAGTGCAATTTAACTGGAAGTAAAGGTAAAGGTACCCCTGCCTGTACGGGCCAGTCGTGTCCGACTCTAGGGTTTCGTGCTCATCTCGCTCTAGAGGCCGTGAGCCGGCGCCGTCCGAATACACTTCTGGGTCACGTGGCCAGTGTGACGAAGCTGCAGCTGGCGAGCCAGCACCAGTGCAGCACACGGAAACGCCGTTTACCTTCCCGCTATAAAGCGGTCCCTACTTATCTACTTGCAGTTTGATGTGCTTTCGAACTGCTAGGTGGGCAGGAGCTGGGACCGAACGACGGGAGCTCACCCCGCCGCGGGGATTCGAACCGCCGACCATACGATCGGCAAGTCCTAGGCACTGAGGTTTTACCCACAGCGCCACCCGCGTCCCTTTTTAACTGGAAGTAAACCAGCTCAATTGTTGGCTAACTGTAGCCTTCATGCTCACAGGCTTAGTAACAACAGATGGTGGGACAAAAAGTTGGTTATAGCCATCACCAACTCTTCCTGGTAAGATTTTACAGTAGGAGTAGCCATCCTCCAGATCACATTTTTGAACTCAAAACTCCCATCAGTCCCAGCCAGCATGGCCAGTCGTCAGAATAATGAGACTTGTAGTCCAGCAACATCTGGAGGGCCACACATTCCATCACCCTGTTTTGCAGGCATTTACAGAACGCCAGACTAGATGGGCTTATTCCAGCAAGCTGCCCTGCCCCCTTATTGTAATTTCACATAGAAAGAGAATTCCTCTGACATGTACAGGTTTCTTAACTTCCCAACTAAACACCCATTGCTCACTCTGACCTATATTTTAGTAGGAGTCGGACTTCTAGGTCTGAACATCTGCCCTTGGCACATTTCTTTGAAAATCAGTAACTGGACCTCTGTGCTGAGCTGAAATGAGCAGAATTCATGCAGTTCTTGGAAAGCTGGTATCTTGATGTCAGGGCCCATGTATGATGGAAAGTCAGCCTAAACCATTAAATAATGCTATACATCTATTGTCAAATCAGTGTCTAGTTCTTCATCTATTCATTGATCCATTTTCCATGGAAGTATATGTCCCGCAGTGCAATTATTTGTCTTAAAAATAATTGACAGCCTTCCAGCTTAATGAGAACCAAGTGTTTCTCTCCCACACTGAGATGAGGACTGAATATCTGCGTTCCCTCTGGAATAGCAACTCTACTTCCCTACCCTAGGACATTAATCAGAGAATTTTGCAACTGATATAGGAGTCACCCCCCCCCGAACTCGGGTGCTGTTACAGGCTTAAGTTCAACAGATACAGCTTTCCCATCACTGCATTTTTTTTTTGAGAAAAGGCAAACAGCCTCAGTGAGGAAAGAAGATGACAACCATACGCAGTGGGAGGGGGAACAGATGGATTATATTTTAGCTACCAAAACATTATTTCAAATTTGCATGTGTAAACAACTGAAAATAATTTTGCATAAGCAGTTTTTCACTAGGGATATTTAGAGGAGATGCAAAAGCCATCTTCAAATATTCGAAGGGCTGCCACAGAGACAATGGAGCAAATATGTTTTCTGTTGCTCCCCAGGGTGGGGCCTGAACCAGTGGGTCCAAATTACAAGAGAAAGGATTTAGACTAAGCATCAGGAAGAGCCTCCTGATGGTTTGAGCTGTTTGGCAACAGAACAGACTGTCTCAGGAGGTGGTGGACTCTCCTTCATCGAAGGTTTTGAAGAAGAGGCTGGACAGCCACCTTGGGACATGGCTCAGTGGTGGAACATCTGCTCCCCATGCAGAAGGTTCCACATTCAATCCCAGGCATCTCTAGGTGGGCCTGGGAAAGACCCTTGTCTGAAACCAGGCTTGTCAGTGTAGACAATACTGAGTCTGATGGACCAATGGACTCAGTATAAGACAGCTTCCTCTGTTCCCATGTTCTAATATTCAAAATATTTTGGGGGGAGAGCTGCAGCTCACTGGTAGACCATCTCCTTTGCATGCAGAAGGTCTTGTGTACAATTCCTGACATCTCAAGGTAGGGCTGGGAGAGAACCCTGTTTGAAAACCTTGAGAACCACGGCCCGTCAGGGTAGACAATGCAGAATTAGATGGACCAATGGTCTAACTCAGTCTAAGGCAGCTTCCTAGTGCCTGTGTTCCTTTCAGGGATGCTTTAGCAATGAATCTCTGTATTGGCAGGATGATCTCAGAGGTCTCTTTCAGCTGTATGATTCCATGACTTCAGTACCGTTTTTATTTTTTTAAAAAAACCTGAAAATGAAGATGTTATTGTCTATGCGGTAATGCAGTTACTCATGAGGGAGTTTTAAGAATAAGGCACTGCATTTATTTATGCTAGCAGACATTACCCTTGGTAAGTAAGTAAGGCAGGCCTGAATAGTGGAGTGACTAGGAAGGGTGTATTAATCATCAGGGTTAATCGGCAGCCGCTAGTGACTGCCACCATCTCACCTGCATTGGATTCATGAAATCCTCCTTTGCCAAACCCTGAAGATCCCTTTCTGGCTGTGGCGATGGAATTCTGAACAGGGGCCTTCTGCAGTGGCCGGTCTCTGACTGACTACAAATTATCAATACTGATTACCCGATTGCAGCATTGGGGAGGAGTGGGAAGGGATGAGGCCAGACTCCTGTCTGGCTGCATTGGCATAAACAGCTGTCTCATGCCCTTCCCTCAGGAATAACAAAGCCCTCTGCCAGTGGGCTGGAGTGGCTTCCTGCAGCACTGAGCACCTCGAAGCCAAAAGAAAGCAGCCTTTAAGGAGTGGGGCTCAGTGAGCATCCGTATTAATTTTGGACAAGTGAGAGTGCAGCAAATGAGCAAGATTCCTTAGGTGACAAGGCTTTTGTTTGCAAGAGGGAGGACCAGGGGGAAGGGAAAAAAAGAAATATGATCTCTCCCCAAGTTGCCTGTGTGTCAGTTGCTATTTTTTTAGGGGGGAAATCGGCACCCCCTTATAATATATTGGTTTCATTTTTTGCAAAAGGTGGAGAAAAGAATTGGATATTTTAAAAAGCCATTTCAAGATGTGTGATGCTGGTCTCCAAGCCATCTCCCTTCACTTCCCCAGTACCCACCGCGCCCTTCACTGCAATATCTGTTTTCTCCACTATAAAGCAGTTTTATTGCAGACTCAGTTTTGGGATGGAGACGAAAAAGTCAGAGAAAGCGAGAGAAGGGGAGAAGGAAAGAGGGATCAGAGGGGCAAGAGGACAGGAAAGCCCGTGGCTCTCTTCCAAACGATGCTAAATAAATAAACCAGGAGATTTTACTGACTTCAACAATAACCTTTCTTGGTATAAATTCCGAAAACACAGCTAGCTATGATCTTTCTTCCCCGACCTGCAGCTCTGACTGCTGGAGAGCTCTCGGTTAGCACTGCAATGAACCTCTTTTCAGATGCGGAGGGAGGTTGGGTGCGGTGCAGGGGTGTGGCTGGGGGGCTGCTGAGTCTACATGTGTGTGCGTGGAGAGGGGGATTTGCTTCTGCTTTCAACGAGACCAAATAAAAACAAGGTCGCTGGAGGCATTACAGCAGGTGGGGCAATTCTAGCGGGGTGGGGAGAAGGAAGAGGTAGAGGTTTGTAATCCAGTGACCTACTTTCCCCCCTCTCCCCCCACAATCTGGCTACTAAAAGAACCAGCCTCTAGAGATCAAGGGGATCGGAGAGGTTGCTGCAGAAACAAACAACTGGAAGGGAGCGGAAAACCGATGCTGATAAGCAATAGCTGCAATTTGGAAAGGGTGAAGTGCCTTTTCTTTCCTGTCCTCCAGCCCCTTCTTTTTTCTTCCTTGCTAGCTGAGCGTTGGGAGTGGGTGGGAGAGAAAAAAGCAGGGGAGGGGGAGGATTCCCCAGTGCGCCTGTGACTAGGCAGCAGCAGCAGCAGCAGCACCAACAACGATATGGGTGGGGTCGCTCTGCATTGTGTCGGGCTGCTGGAGTCTGTGGCGTCGCTCTCTCTGCAGGTGCGCTCTCGCCGGGAACGCCCGGAGCAGCGGCTGCATGACAGCCTTACACAAAGAAAGCCAAGGCGACCGCAACCCTAAATCCCCACCCTACAACGGGATAAAAGGGAGGGGAAAAAACACACCACCCGTCCATCTTTAGCACAAAGGCAGCGCAACCTAATTCTTAAACCCCTTCTTCATTTCCTCTTCACGCAATAAAGATAGTTGGATCTAATGCCGTCTCCATCTAATTCAAAAAGACTGACCAATTTCAAGTCGAAAAGGACTGGTCAGTTTCCTCCAGTGCATTCTCCTAAACTCGCACCCCCTCCGGTTGCAAACATCAGGCGATGAGCAGGGCGTGATTTTGGGAGGCTGGCAACAACTCCGCATAAAACACAGAATAACTTGTTCCTTTTTGCCACACGCCAGTCCCAGAAAAGTGCTCTGGAAATGGAGCTTCGGGTTTACCTGACCCAAAACACTAAAGGAGACCGCTAGGATTGCATTCGGATTGCACTGTTAATACTCCGGATGAACTGATTTGTGGCTAGGGGTGTAAAACAATCGAAGCGAATTTTTCTTTTTAAAAGTAAACCAGAGACTTATAAGGATCCCTCAAATTCCCAGCTGCTTCCAGGTTTTGGCTGTAAAACCCCCCCCAAAATAACAACAACCCAAGGAGAATAATAGAAATAAAAACAATATTTTTGATTATTAGTATTATCAGCGCTCCGTCAGCACCACGGACAGCAGGTTTCTAGAATAGAGCAGCTATCATACAGGATGAAGACAAAAGAGATGGTACTATTTCCTTACCCATTGCAGTTTTAGCCATTGTGAGGTGTACAGACGCTCAGAGGTTGTGAAGGCAAAGAGGTCCAGCTACAGCAGTGGAGGGAGAGAGAGAGAAGACTAAGGCACTGAGTCAGCAGAGTGGGGCTGTGCAAAAGAAAGAGCAAGAGGCAGGAGCCCATGAATAATTATCACTCCTCTATCCAAGCAGATTGGCTCGAGAGGTCCCCTGACATGACTCCTGCAGAGCTAGAATCTCCAGGCATTAAATATTGATCTGCCAATGGTGATGGAGTATAAAGTGCCAGAATGCAGTTTGAAATGGAAATTGGCTCTTGAATGCTGCTACCCCCCTTTCGCTTTCCTTTCAGTGGTACATTCCATGTCAAATGCTTAATGTCTTACATGAAAAGCCTATTGGTCTTGAAATCTCTGGCTGTTGCTACCTGTAAAACATGCACAAATGCACTTTAACACGTTTTATGGTACTAATAGGAGGAAGCAGGGGAGAACATGAAACAAAAATTACCTAGTATTACAGCTGATTTTGCACCCATGCAGTGGAATTATATATATATTGGCTGTAATCCTATGTACATTATCCTGTGAGTAAGGCCTATGGAGGTAAGGGAGACCTACCTCTGAGTAGACATGCATAGGATTTCATTGTGAGTGTATTGTTAACACCAATAGTTCACTGCTTTTTAATGTGTTTTGGTTTGCTCTTATAAACTCTTCTTGTTATCATGCATATCATAAAAATAGCAGGTGGCCAAGAGCTGAAAAAAGCTAAGTCTGGGATCATCACTGCAAGCTTACAAAATAAGAATAGAAAATATGAAGTTTGACATCCAGATTGTTAAGAAATATAGAATGATAAGGCAGAGAAAGTGTGATGACTCCCAAATGCATTAATGGTAAATGTACAGCTTCATTTGCTTATGTACAGCATGTGTCTGAAATTTGGGAACAGGGGAAATTCTATTGTGAACCCAATGTGGGACAAGAATGAACCTGTTCTTTCCTCTTCTGTGGTGCGGTGACAATGGAGAAATAATATTTTATTGGAGTGTGGGAGGGATCAGTGCTATCCTCTATTCCATTAATGTGAAAAGAACTGTTAGCTAGATGGAGTGTGTATAAACCATAGGGTTTTTAAAATGAAGAATGGAAATGGCCTATTCACCACTGTCTTCTAGTAATTTAGTACTCTAAAAAATATAGGATCATTGCTGGGGGTGGTGGGTGTTAGGTTTCACACGGGCCAACTATCGTGCATAAGAAAGTGGCAGAGCTTGGTCTGAGACTAGCAAATATAAATATAAGCAGCTGAGAAATCGCAAAATAATCAGAATATAATCCTGAGAAAAAAATGTGTTTCAAGTGGCTCAACATCTTTCTTGTTCTCTCTGATGCAATTATACATCCAGGTGATGATAATTATCTGATTTAATTTCTGCTGCCATGTTTCCCTTCCTTTGTCACAACTAAGCACTAATGTGATTGCCAAAAGGGCTCTCTCTCTCTCTCTCTGTGTGTGTGTGTGAGAGAGAGAGAGAGAGAGAAGGACTTTCCCTCCTCCCTTCTGATCCAATAGAGCAAAAGCATCAATTTGTGCTTTCACCTGATAATTTGAGTTGGAGAGAATTGAAATTCATGTGAGATACTGACTCAAAGATGGTGTGCTAGAAAGGACTATGAACACAGCTTTGGTGAGCTAAGAACTAATACCAGTGATGTTCTTTCTTTTGTACTATTTGATAGTCAAAGCGATGGCATTAAGTAGTACCCTGAGATTTACCACAACACACACTTCTTTGTGAGTGAAAATAATTGTGAGGTAACTATGATGAAAATGATTGGTGGGAGGGATTTTTCAGGCACCCACTCTGTGTGTGTGTGTGTTTGTGATGTTAGGATTTTCACTCTCTAATTTTAAAACACATCTCACCTTTGTCTCAACTGAACATCCAAGACAGGTTATAAGAATATAAAAAAGCCAAAAATGCTAAAATCACATTATTATGATTTAAAACAACATCATTCCAGAAAATCCAGTAGAGAACTAAAACACAATTAATTTTTAAAGCTTAAGGCAGATTTCATTTGTCATACTCCAAAAAGCCCCCTGGAACATCTGTGCCTTCACAATATTCTGAAAACCAAGAAGGAGCAAAGCCTTCTCAGGAAGTGGGTTCCAGAGTCTGGATGCAATTACTGAAAATCCCCCTCCTTCTTTTATTCTGGGCTCCAAAGCACAAAAGCAGCACTTTGAATTGGGGCCAGAAGTAAATTGTAAGGCAATAAAGATGATGTCATATTGATGTTATAGGCTCCATACAATGAGTCCCAGTTAAGATCCTCTCAGGTGCATTTTGAACCAATTAAAATTTCTAAGCAGCTATTACAAGCAGGTCCACAGTAATCTGGTCTGGCTGTTGCCACGGCATGTACAGCTAGGACTAGGTGAGATGTTCCCGGAAAAGGCACAGCCAGCATATCAGCCAACACTGGAAAAAGGTGTTTGTGCATTCTAGCAGAAGCCCCAAATTGTAGTCACTGGTATATTGGTTAAATCTTGCCCAAATGTTCAGACTGGGACAGCAGTTTACAGTATGATGTGAGGACCTTGGAATTTCTCTTCAAGGCCTTGAGCCACAGCACTGATGGAGAACCCTTTTCAGCCTGAGACCACATTCCCATCTAGGCATCCATATGGGAGCCACATGCTGGTGGTATTCCCTGGTGGGGAAAGGATTGCACAGCCAACACTGTCCTCCTGCCCATCAACTGATATTAGTGATGTCAGCTGATGGGTGGGTATGCATGGTTTGGGGGCAATGGCCACATGATCCAAATTGGACCCTCTGGTGGGCCAAGATTAGCCCACAGGCCAAAGGTCCCCCCCCCACCATGTAGCAGGTATGATTCTCAGACCATATCCCCACTAAGATGTTGAAAGTCCCAGGTTATTTGAAACAAATATTAAAACAACCATTATGGTTTCGCTGAGAGGGCAGATGGTTGATATTTTCCAGACCAGAGACAAGGGTTGCTGCGAAGTCTTGTGGGAGAGCACAGATGCCGCTTGACTTTGAATGAGACAATGTTAGCTGTACTGAAGTGGAAAAAAGGATTCATGTGTTGAAATAAGAGGACAGCTCTTGTAGCAAGAGCCCCAAACACTGCTAACTTTCTTTGGATTTCCATCAAAAGGTTCTAAAATCTAAGCTAAGAAACAGAAACCAACCCACAATGATGATGCAGATCAGAATAATCGTAATTATGAGCTTGTGGCTGCCTCACACACAAGCTTTGTCCAGGACTTTGATGCTCAGCAGGCAAGCAAGAACGCAAGTGAGCAGCGGCACTGGAGCTGTCCTTGGTACTGAAACACTCTGCAGCTTTCCAGACTGTTACATTGCCAATCGAATCACTTAGCTGAATCATAAGAAGGCTTCCTTCAACCACAGCAATGACTGGAACTGGGGGGGGGGGGGGATGAATCAGGGTCTAGCTTGGGGACCCCCCCCCGTGTGTATCTGTTGCTTCCTGTCTTTATATGACATTTTCTCCAACATAAGAAATCAGTAGTTTCTGTCAGTACCTTGCCACTTTCATTATACAGTTATGTTTCATTATATTCTCACTCTGTTCCTTTCGTCTGGCTATAAAGCATGAAAGCTAAATTCCCCCCTTCCTCCCATCTGAGCTGGATTAGGAATAGGAGATGGGATGTAGAGGATGAATGGGTGCAAATGGCTGACTTCAGTTAACTCTTTGTGTAGCACAATGTGGCCTCTGTAGATACAGCCATAAAATAATCTTTACTGTTTATCTCAAAAAGCAGGTTATCTCTTCTGAAACAATTTAAAAAGCAAAGCTCAGTAGAGAGGGTGTGTGGGGAAGGGGTTGGTCTCTCTCTCTCTCTCTCTCTCTCTCTCTCTCTCTCTGTGTGTGTGTGTCTGTAGTTTTCATTTACAGAGAAGAGAGAGAAAGGCAATGGCTTCCTTGAGTCATACTCAGAGGAGTAACAAGAGCATTAGGGTATTGTCTTTTTTTCAAGTGCAGGAAACAGTGGTTTAGTGGTAATTTATGATGTACAGGAGCTCATCATAACAGGTACACACACACACACACACACACACACACACAAAACAATACACCTAATCAAGAATTAGAAGCCTATAGTGCCTGATCAGTCATGATGTGTACTGGGTGACTTCAGGCCTGAGTCTACCCTAGGCTCATGTGCCAGATGAGATCTGTCTCTGAATCCCCACAAATGCCACTCTGGCAGATGACATCATAGCTCCTAGTGTGAAGAAGCACATGCATTGCCCCTTCACTACACCACTGCTAAGGACTCTTCCTTCAACCCTTGGCAGCATGAAGTCCACCCAGCCCTAGGCCAATCCTTTCCTGTTAGTCAGAGGCTTTCCTGAAATGAGGCAATATGTGATGGTCACTTCATCTGGTGCATTTATTAATCATTAGGGCTGGTAGAGTGGGGAACAGGTAAGATGACCCCTAGCACACAACATAACAAGATGTTTTCCTGCACAAGCCTCATTAAATAAACAGGAGCAGAAATATTGAAGCCCATTGATTCTCATGATGCTTCCACAGGATAACTTCCTGTTGGAATTTTCCTGTTGGTAATCAATGTGTCTAGGTCACTTGAGTTTTCTGCATAAGGCATCCAAAGATTTAGGAACCTTTTGGCTGTTACTGTAGAATCTAGAAGGTAATTTGCTGGCAGATTCCTTCCATTGCACATCTGTGAAGCAGCTTGAGGCTGAACATTTACAGAAGAGCATAAATGAGTCTCTGTTTGACTCATTCATTTCCCTCTTTCCCTTACTGGTCTATCTGATGAGTCTAACCCCGGATAATGCTAGTGGCCAATCACTGCACAGTAAATCTCATAAGTTAATGATACATTGTATGAAGAAGTACCTGATTTAATGTTTCCTGAATCATCCTTATTCTAAGAACACAATATGTAACAGTATTAAGGTATGTAAAGCAGAGCACTCTAAGACCACTGCTATCTGCAAAGCCTAATGCCATGATGATCCAGAGACAGCTTCTTTGTTCTCTGGGATTTCACTGGGAGGAGTAGAATGGGCAACTTGAGCCAAAAG